GGCCGCGGCCGCGGCATCTTACCGGCCACATCCGGTCGCGGCCGCGTCCCGCGCCGCTACGCTCACTTATTCCATGAGCGATTTGCTCGGTGTTCAGGGCCTCGACATGGGCGCCGTTTACCATCCAATACCTACGATCGGCCTATGACCAACGATACTCACACCCCTTTCGCGACCGCAATAATTGCAACTCGTCCGGGGGTGTCATATTTACGTCCGATTGTTCCGTTCAATTTTAATCGATTAGTTATCCATCTATTTTATATTGCTTATCTCGATTTTTCGAGCGATTTCTAGGTTTTGTTGTAGCATTTTGTCGTGAGTTTTACGATTTCTATATGCCGAAGGACAATATAATAATACGATTTTTAATCGCAGACGCGATAAAAGTTTTTCTCAGTCTTTTGCTTTAAAATAATATTTTTTGATATGTGCCAAAAAACTTGTTGTTTCGAATAAATTGATTTAGATTGCATAAATTATAAAGTTTGGAACTCAATGAATTAAGTAATGCTCATATAAAAGAAATATATATGTGTATATATATTTTATTGGATCTATTTAAAACTTGGCCAAAGAGAAGTCAATGTACTTTTTATGATTTTTATTTATTATCGATGTAAGATTTTAGAAATCTTGCTGAAGAAAAATTAGTCTCTCGTAATAAATGCGTAATTTTTTAATGAAATATTACATTAAACAGCACTCTATACATTCCTCAATTGAGACTGTTCTTCGTTTTGAAGTAGTCAACGAAAGAAATCGAAAGTATTAATTATTATAATATATGTCAATCAGTGATCAAACGACCGATCGTGATAGATATCAATTTCAAAAAGTGCAATATTGTAGATTTAGGAAAACCGTTCTTATTTATCGGTTCGAAATACATATCGAGAACGCGATATTTCCGCGGAGCTGTTCGCGGTTGGCAATGTTCGGCGAAACTGTGATCGTAGAAGCAGAAAAAAACGCGTAACGAATTGCAAATTTAATCGACGTAGTAGTTACCTATGGGGCCTCATTTTCTCGTAGTAAAAAAAGTAGACACGTAGTAACGAGATGAACGGATCGCAAAAGACTGGTAGTTATTTCGTAGATAATTAGTAACGCAGGTAGTAGGACAATAAACAAAGTGTTCAAATGTAGAGAGAAAACGACCTAACGATGCTCAATAGTAAATCGCCGTCACGTCGAACGTATCTCCTTATAGGATTGTCTTTTGACTTTAAAATTTACAATGTTTAAATATGAAGTGAAAGTCTTGAATAATGTTGTACTTCTCAACGTAACATTATTAAATTAAAAAATTATTTAGATTTTCCAATTTTTCAAAAGAATAGTAGGAATATTTTTCAATTTATCAATTTGTTTAATATGAAACATAAAGTAAAAATCTTAAAAAGCTTTTTCATCTTTCAATAAAATATTATTAACTTTAAAAATAAAATCTTTGTATTTTTTTTTCTTCGAGCTTTTAAAAGAAATAGTAACAGTTATTTATTTTGATGTTTTCATAAAATACATCTTTATAAGTTACACGATCATTTCTATAGTATTTTGAAATTGAAAAATCGAAGCTACATTGAGAATGAAAAAGTTAATAATAATCAAAAAGTTATCTTACATTATTAGATTAGTATAATCATTAAAGTATCCATTGAAAATAAATATAATTATTGCTATATAAAAACATCTTCTTTTACATATTAATGAAGATAGGCAGGGTGAACGAACAGTAACTATACAAGTCGTGTCTAACTAAATCTCAATCATCTACCAACGTCGAATAATTAAGTTTTCGGTGTCCATCACACTTGCCGTTAAAAGCACTTCGATTAAAACGCCGTAGAAATTAACACCGACATCGAGCCTTCAATGAAGGAGGAATGAGAGAACAGGAAATCGAAAGACAAGGTGAGCAGCAATTTTCAGGTCACCCTGATGGGGAAACAAAACGACAAGTCCTCGATGGAGATTGTATGTTCGTCGTTCGGCGGCTGTCAATTTGTTGATAGAACTAGTTGAAATTTTAGCGCGTTGCGAACAAAGCTCTAACGTAGAAATTGTCGTCTGCGAGGTTACGCGACAAGATCGGGTAATACCATTAAAAGATGGAGGATACGGGAAAATAGTCGCGTTTTGTGGCGTATTTTCGAACGTCTTTAAAAACGACAGCATATCTTTTCAGGACGAAATAACCGTTTGTTTTGAACAACGAACGTGCTTTTTGTCGAGGCCGTTTTAATTATGAATATCTTATCAAAAAAATTGAAATAATATACAAGAGAAAAACATTCTTTTTCTCCTCGTTCACCCAGGTAGTGGTCCGTTACGTGCACTCCTCGCGAGCACGCGAGCGATAATTGAAGGAAATCAATTAGCGACACATACCGACGCAAATTGTTGGCGAATGCAGTGAGAGAGCGGTTAGCGCGACGGGAGCCCGCAGGAAATGGTTGGCGACACGTGCACTTCTCATTTGTCGCGTCTTCCGGAATATTTTTCGCAAGTGACTTCATGAAATTTCATAATGTCGAAGCAAGAAAAAACTCTGTGTTCTAGACGGTATAAAGATATACTCAAAATAAGGAAAGACACGAGCTCGACACTATTTATATGTATATAAATGCATAACATGAATCTATATACATATACATATATACGTATAATATATTTATATTCTATACTTATATGGAATGTCCCAAAACGAACGGTAATGTCTCATCGATATATCAAGAATCAAATCACAGAAAAAAACTTAAATAATTTTGAGAAAAAAAGATTCTAAAATATTGACAAATTGATGAACATTGTGTGAGTATGAGTAGAAAATTATTATTCTCTCTTTCTATATCTCTCGGCTTAATTATCTTAATTTTACATTAGAATTTAAAACACTACAACGTCACGACAAACAGCAGTCTCAAAATTAAAAAAGAATTAAATATCAAATGATACATATATTAGTAGTTTTCGGACACTCTGTATATTGATATGTACCTAACGATCCATTATAGATTACGCCAGACGATATATACGTTATACTATTGTTTTGTATCTTACCTATTTGGTAACGCCATAGCATTTGATATTAATATCGATATATTTTGTGAGAGCCGCATTACACCTTATAGTTTTTTGTAATAGACCAAACAGATATACATATCGGAGCCTATATATCTATCTATCTCTACATATTTAGGTAATTAGGTAAACATTTATGTTGTTACCAGACCTTAGATATTATTGAAACTCTAGGCGCTCTAGGTTCGATTAGTTAGAGCGAATCAGTTTTAAACGAATTAATATACTATGTACACGTTCCTATCGTTGAGACTACTAGTGGACTATAGCTTTTGGGAAGTCAACTATGATATCGTTAGTTTAGATTATACTTTAGGCGTTCGTCTTCGCGGAAGATCGCGCATGCACTCGCGTTCATTCATCGACAAATTGTTCACAGGGAAGGCATTTGGCCTCCGTCGTATAACATTCCCATATACTCATGTTTCCTCTCGCAAAATAATTCGCGAGAGAAGTGAGATAAAGCGCGGTGCTCAACGTCTTCCGCGAAGAATACGCATTACCAGCGGCTTCAAAGAGACCTATTATATTGTACCTATTACTTAACGAGCTACGTTACATAGTTACATTTATATTACGTTACACGTAATATTATACCTCTTTCTCTCTCTCTCTCTCTCTATATATATATATATATAGGATATATACTAAATATATATCGTGCGTATACCTGTCTATACCTAATGCCTCAGCTCCTGTATATCCTACTCATACACTACTCGTTACATAGTACTTAACTCTTCTTAAATGCCGCATAGCATCATTTACCTTGATAATAATGCGTGAGACGTGTGTCCTAGAAAGTACGTACTTAGCCAGAGAGGCGCAACACTGTCAGTTTCGTAAGTAGACCAGACTTTGATGATGCGGTTTTATCATTGGTCTTTGTGACACTTGGCTGAGCCACTTGATTTTGGGTTTTACGGGAATATAGAGTATTTGATGATGTCTTACATAACTTATAACGATTCGACGGAATGCATTCCTGATACACGGCCTCGCGAATGTATCTCCTCGTCCGAGACGGGACACGCACATCAAAGGGAAAAAACATAAAATTCTAGTGAGTAGCTCAATGAATTCCACGTTGCCGAAGCCATCGATGTGACGTAAACGTTAATCGACCGGCAACTCGATCGTAAACTCGAGCTGAGACAGGCTTTATGCGCTCCTCGGAACTGCGAGAGACTGTTAATATTAATACGTCGTACATAAACGTCTGCTCTACGTGAGATCGATATGTTGCATCTGAGAAAGTACAGGGTGTATACGTAGATGCTAAATAGAAAAGCACGCGCGTAATTCGCGCAAGAATTATTTACATAGTATCGTCGAGATCTATTCACGTATTTCGATGAAGTGACAAAGATATATGTCTCTATATAATGCTGCAAATGATTCGATTGAGATAAATGCGAGATATAGTGCTCGACGTACATGCAAATCTTATTGTAGCTCAGAAGAGTTTAGAAAGCCATTAAGACAGAGAAAAAGAGTGCAAAATGATAGTAAAATACCATTGAGCGCTTGACGCAATCAAAACCAGCCCGGTAGAGAGACTTTAGGTACGAAATTACTAATACTATTAATATGTATCAGTGTATTTTAATGGCTAGAATAAACGCTCTTATACTTTTTTCCATCTGCGTAATATTGTGAGAGCAACGTCGATATGGACACTAGCATAGTGAGTCTAGTAGTGTAGTATTATTGTGGTCAGTGTTTTTTTCAATATTGTATCGTCAATATAAATGTGAGTAGTGGTGCCGGTGCTATGCCACGCACATGATAGAAAAGTAAAAGTGGAGCACGTTATTATGTGCATATTGCTCAAACATTCTGCAAATTTGTCATTTGCGAAAGATATTCAAGTGGTGTGGCATATTACCGACCCTTAGTCGATATCTAATAAGCTATATAGAGAGCCTAGCAAATATTACTTAACGGTAAATAATTAACCAATACCTTTGGAGGCTACAATAACCATAGTTCATAGGAGGGTTTATTTTGTCGTAGAATTGGAAACACCTCGGCCGCGCGTAGTTACCTAGTACCTTGTCACACAGTTTAGAAAATGCGCTATATAGTCGATGCGATATACATATATACATAGTGAGAATCTTAGTTGTGTGGTCTTTTGGATTAGTATCGAATTATGAAATTTCATGGATGCCTTGATCTCTCTGTCATTCTGTTTCTCTCATTCTTTCTCTCTTTCTCTCTCTCTCTCTCTCTCTCTCTCTCTCTCTCTCTCTCATTTTCTCACATACTCTCTATTTAACCTAGAAAGCTTTTAATCCTATTTCTTATCTTTTTTTCTCTTTTTACGTTCTTTTTTATCGTTTGGACCTAGTCATCCGTTACACTTAAATCCCGACGAATTTCTGCAACGCTTCGCTTCATACTTAACTTATCTCCGTGTACATATTCTTAAATGTTTACGCCTACCTTCGCCTGCTCGAAGAAAAATATTGGTCTTGCGACATATAAAACTTTGCAGAAATAATTGACACGTGAAAACTTTACTTCTGACACGTAGCTTATTTCGTAAGTTTTCGAGCGATCAATATCTTTCTTCGTACGTAGTTGCAGAAATTTTGATGGAGACTTGAAATCGTTGCACTAACGAACATGCTATATAAATAAAGGGAAAAAATCGAAAAGAAAAAAGAATTGATAAAAATAAGTAAACAAATATTCAGAAATATATATTAGTTTAGGTCGAAATTATATTTTAATCGAATTTGTTTTTCCTTATAGATTTTATGTGGTCTCTGGGAGCATTACCTGATGGTGAGTACGTGAAATATGATAGTAAAGAATACTGACTAGTAAAGAACTCTATACCTACTCTGACGACCCCTATTATAGACATAACTGAAGAAATAATGATGCTATATGGCTCGACAACCTTGATACATAATTGTCCATTTCATCTATTTGCTTTAACATATAATACATTTTACCTATAGCATATCTTTCAGTTCATTGATGTGAACCGTATGTAAATATTAGAATTTAGCGGATTAATTACTAACTTCTATTAGCTTTTATATTGATGACAATTTAATCTAATTAAAAGAATAGATATGGCTATAATTATGATGAATATAATTTGATGGGTAGATACAGTTCTATAAAGCGGCAGGATCGAATTGATAAAATTGGACTTGTCGGAATATTTAGTACTTATTTTTTACTAAATATACTATTAATGACAATTTTATACTGTGCGCCACTTTGAGAAAATTTACTGCCAGCTTAATATTAAGTTAACAGGACCAATTCAAAATAAAGGAAAAGAGAAAAACTGTGTTGGAAATCAATACGATTGAATGTGTATTAATTTGTACTATCAAGAATAATATATTATGTCATTTCCAAGAAGACAGTGACACTGCTAGCTTAATGTTATATATAAGCTGGCAGGACCATAAACAAATAACACAAAAATAAAAATTAACAAAACTAAATTTGTATTAATTTGCATATCATTGAAAGTAAGTTAATATTTCATATTTTTTTCTCTTTAATATGACTTTATTAGTACCTACTTACAATCTATATGTCAATCATTAGTGATTTCGGCAAACATAACCTGATACTAAAATTTAAGAAAAAAAATTTTTTAATGTGCGTTAAATTAAGTTTGTATCATAACCGTTTGTATCACTTTGCTTTTTGTTTGTACCTTAAGAAGTTCGAAAATATAACTAAAGGATTGAAAAAATGCTACCCACTTTAATATAGCACCCCACTTTAAGATATTTTAAATGTGTAAATAAACGTTATTTCGTAATCGTTCGTACACGATTGTACTATATAATCGTTTTCATTTGTATATCCTTAAGAGGATGATTGTACCGAAATTGTAATATAAGAGTGAGAGCTAGCTAATTTTGCTATTTCCGAAAATATTTAAAATCTGCAGATTGGTGTTATTTCGGAATCGTTTCTACTCGTTTTAATCCGAAATATAATCAAAATTTCGAACCCGCTTACAGATTCTTCTTTAAGACACAAATAAAAAGAAAAGTGAAACAAATGATTACAAACCTAATAATCCGCTTTGAAGAAATTTGTTTTTGAATTCTCGAGTGCCAGATTCACTTAGGTTTCGTTGCTGAGGTCACAATGTATAGATTATAAATATGTATTAATAAAGTTATTTCATGAAAAAAATGTAAAAAATGATACAAATTAGTAAATACAAATTTAATTTTGTCCATTTTTACCCTTGTGTTTTTTTTTTTATTTCAGCCAGCTTACACTTATTATGTTACACTGAACCAGAACACCAAAAATGTACGTAAATACAATTCCAATGAAACAATTTTATTTTCATAATGATTTAGGTTTCATAAAAGGATGAATATAAGTTATACATAAAATTATATTATTAGAATTCACCGTAACAATGAATATATATATTGAAACAATATCCCATGGATTTATTAAAATAACAAAAACATTTTTTTAAATACATATAATGAATTCAATTATTGAACTGATGTGCAGACTTTATTAACTAATGAAGCAATCCGTTAATATGATAAATGTATTTTATCACTTCTATAAAATTTTATAATACGATACATCTAATGAATGAGTTTATTAAATCTATGAACACTGAAGGAACGAATTTTTTTCATCGATTTAATTAAACGTTACATTAAGTTATGATACATTCATGTATGTACAGCAAATTAATAAACAGTGATGTGTTATATCATTAAATCTAGTTATATTAGCTAATAAAAAATTCTCAATGTAATATTCATAATATATATTAAAAGTTCATTGTATCAATGAATTTCAAGTCAATAAACATCATTTATTGATATTACGAACAAGATTTTTTCAATGTAACAGTGTCACTGTTTTCTTGAAAAATGATACATAATATAAAATTGTTTTTGGTAGTACAAATTAGTACAAATCCAATTCTATTGATTTCTGATATAATTTTTCTCTTTTTCTTTTATTTGGAATTGATCTTGTTAGGGTAAACTCAGGTATTATGGCCATATATATACGGATATAAAATGGTCGTAAGCTGTAATTTCTTTAATAATTGCTAAGTATATTTTTTATTTAAAAAAAAAGCATTGGTCTTTGTTAACCTTGCAAAATTGTCATTAATGGTACAATTTAACAAGTATTATATCTAAATATTCCTATAGGTCCGGTTTGGTTTTGCTGTAGTTTGATATTTTTAACGAATTTTTATCGATTTAATAAACACATTTGTGAATTATAAATATAATTTGGAAAGCATTAAGAAAATTTTTTTTAATCATTTCCAGTTTTTTAATAACATTATAAATTTTCGTATAAAAATAAAATAAAAACCTTGTGAATTCTTTTATTGTCAAATTGAATATAATACAGTAACAGATATTCTTGCATGACATTTCATTACTCATGATTTCTGCTTTTTCGCAAAAAATAAATTTTTATCTTTGTAAATATATTTTTATAAATCATATTTACATCTTTCCAGGCGTTTTTAAATTTCTCAAAATTTTATCCAGCAAATAACGTCGAGATATATGGAAGAGTAAAAAATAACTACATTTGTACTTAAACTACATTTGTAGCATGCCAAAAGCAAAATTATATGTCTTTATATTTATACTGAAAAATATTTAGTTACAAGAAATAGTGATACACAGGGAGTGCGAAAAAATTAATAATATTCTTATGCTTATCAGTGTTTATAAAATCGTTACGAATGATTACATTATCCCAAATGTCAAGAGGATTAGTGAGTTGTAACGAGGAGTGTAACGGAAATTTTCGTTGTGTTTGCAGGTTTCCCAGCGGCAGCGTACGCGGCATACGCAGCGGGCCGCGGCTATTCTGGGTACCCTAGTTTCGGATTACCCTACCCGACAGGTAACCACCTTAGCCTTAACCACCTTAACCACCACAATGCGGCCCACATCGCGCCCTTGAACTTGAACTTGAACCTCATACAGGCGCAGCCCGCGCCTCATCATAACCCGCCCACTCCGACACCACTATTTTACCATCCTAATCTGGACCTCTACAACGCCATGCCTCTGTGAACTAACTCACTGATTAACGATACCGATAACGAGCTGTGCGCGCACTCTAACCCATCGCTACACGCTAACTGACTTGCTGTCGCTTGGTCCATCCGATCCTATCGCGGCGAGAGAGCGTGTTGCGACGCGAAAATCAACAAGGTGAGAGATAGCCCCCATATTCTCGAGGGTGATTCGGGCGGTTTGAAAGCAAAGACACGCGTGCGAACTTGAGGATCCCTAAGGGGATCTTCCTCAGAGACGTATACTAAACTTTCGTGAGGGACAAAGCGATTCTCCGTTCTAGGATCACGAGTTCTCGAACTGAATGACGCCGACGCGTGGAACGCAAGCAGGTTCCGCCGAACGCGCAGGAATAAATGACGCGAAAGATTCTTTAAAGCACAATTCCTCTTTAAAACAGGGAGAATTAGTTCTAATTTTACAAAGTTTTTGTAATTCTCGAAAGCGAGAGAGAGCCATGATAGAGTAGACGAGGAGAAAACGAAGAAAACGTTGAGCCGTGAGAAATTTCGCCTAATTATTTGCCAGAATATTCGGAAATAAATTATTAATATCTAACACACACACAGAGAGAGAGAGAGACAGAGAGAGAGAGAGAGAGAGAGAGAGAGAACATTATCAAGCGACAGTGGGCGATGAGAATCATACAAATAGATAAATAATTACTATATCAAAGTTACCCTATAAGGCTTAAGAACACGACGAAAAAAGTCATCTCGTTTCATATTCTCTTGTATTCTCTTTACATTTGTATATTTATCTTAGTACTAATTAGCAGGATGTTCGACAGATCTTATGACCATCATTTTATTATGCAATACATTATTTTTCTATTATATTTTAAAATATTTTTTAAAGGATTTCAAAGGATATAAATAATCTATTCTCTTTCTCGTTCTGCGGTAGACAATAAATCATCGAGTGTTTGCGAAAAAGTGTGTTGTGCTACCCGTGGATTCGAAATTTATTGAGCTGTTATAGCTATGGTGCACTATTGATTCTCCCTTGTGCAGTGGGTATCATTTTTAAAGAATTCAAAATCTCTCTCTCTCTCTCTCGTAATATATATATATATATATATATATATATATATGAATGAAAATATGTAGATATAGAGGAAAAAGAATGTGCATAGATTATGCCGGGTGTAAAATGCCTCGTGAAAGTATTCGAACAATTTTATTCAATTTAATATAGGTGTATTACCGTTTGAATACTTTGGTAAGCCACTATATGTGAAATCAATCATTCCTTTCAATAACGAATATATCCCAATAGCAATCTCAATAAAAGCAAATATCCAATCAATGTCCGAATTCATCAGTAAATACCACTAAATATTGAAATAGCCGATAAAAGTTATCAGAGGAATACTTTTACTTTTACAGCGTTTATATTAGCCAAAATTGTGTAGGGAGAGCGTACAGTAAAGCCAATATTATATATATATTTTGTAAATACACATCGATATTTTGAAAATCGATGATGTCACCAAAATTGAGTTCAAACTGTTCAAAGCTGTTTGGCGTGGTCAACGGATCGTGAAATCGATCGCGATATAAAATGTGTGTAGATGGAACGGGGTAAAATGTCATTGTTGATATCTAGCAAGGATAACAAGTACGTATCGATTGACAATGATACGCGAGGGACCGCATCGCGGTCCACTTTAATATACACTTACACAACACATGTAAATACACACACACATATACACAATATACACGCATTTAGCTATTGGCATACACATAACTGCAGCGACTAATAGAGTATCTATACGTAAAACGAGCACGTCCATCTTTCGATTTGTTGAAATCGAAGTTGATAATAGCTCATGCTTTCAAAGTCGAATCTTCTTCATAACATATTCGCGAAATAAAAATCACGGATTGCATTTAATTATGTTCGAGTGAAATGTACCTCTTTTTTCTATCACAACTCGATATGACGATTGTCTATCCTCAAGCCCAATGGACAGAATTAAAGGATAGTAAATCGTTAGTTTGCACACTTGTGAATTATCAATCTCTTATCCGTCTGTTTCGATTTGTTTCTTTAAACTTTCCTTTTAACAATATTAAATTGTTATCTGTATTTTTACTGATATTTATTTGTTATTACGTCGTAAATTTTGTTATTTGATTTTATTATATAAAATTTGAAACGAGGTAGCAGTCAAATATATTGAATGTAATAAATATGAGTTTAATAACATTGAAACTTCACTACGCAGCCAAACCGAAGAGTTGAAATGAAAACCAGATAACCCATAACGTTTTAAAAGTTAAAATGAAAACCAGCATAAAACCTTATAAAAAACCATGACGTTTTTGTCGGTATCTTCAAAAATCCTATTTTCTATTTTTTTCAAGTTTGTGATAAAAAAATATTATTATTTATACAAAAGGATTGTGTGTGTTTTTTAAAAACCTTAGTTTTATTTAACAATTCCACCTTAAGTTAATTTTCAATGAATTTATTAGTAATTAAAATGTAATTATTATTTTTCTCTTTTAAAGCTTTCTACATAGATATCATTTTTAATGGTTTCCTTTATTGCGCGATTTGTCTGCTTTTCTAATGTAAACTATTATGTAACTTATGTAACTATAATGCTTTTAAGATATCTCTTCATTTTCCTTAACATGTATTATTGCATACTTTATCACTCGTGCTTTCATTATTTCTCGCCTAGTAAATGTACGCACATTTTGTTCCGCGAAAGGCGATTACGTTCGAAGCTATGCACCCTTCCATCCCACGTAATTTTAACCCTTCCACACGCCTTTCCGCTCCTCTATGTCAAGCATGTAAAGCAGTAATGACGCGTCACGTTGTTAACGTCGGACAAACTGCGATCGGTGGTGCCCCGTCGCGATCGAAACTAATTAGCAAAATTAATTGAAGATAGTATCATCTAACAATATCGCTTTAGATTCGCTTCAAAGAATGTTTCAAAAAAAGAGAAATGCGATTCCTGTTATCTTGAGAATCTACGTACATTGATTAATTCTTAGAACAATACATGGTATGGGTGGGAAGAGTATTCATAAATAATAATGTATAAATGTTTTTCGGACGTTGATCCATCTCTCAAAAAGCCGGTTCTCCTCATTTTTCTCCAGGGTGTGCTCGATACTCCCAGAATCATTTTCAATTTTCCTCGACACCCACTATTTAAAGCATTTGAATAACTTTTCGAGATCGCCTCCGCGGTCACCTTTCCATCCTTTTCGCTCGTTCCCGATCTTCTAACCTGGTTTGTGTGTTTTATTGCGTATAGTTCACGAGGCATGGTGGTAGAAGGAAAAGTAGATATCATTCGCGACGATTGATCGCTATAAAGAATTCTTCGTCACCCCTGTTCCTCAGTCCGCCTTCCTCAATGTATTTCCAATGTCCGAAAAACATTCGTCGGTTAAGCCATCCTCTTCGCAAATATGGGAACGGGGCGATCTTCTGCGAGTGAAGTAGGAACGTGGGGAAGGAAAGATATTTCTAGGGGGCGGCGACGTATACTCGAGTTACATTTGTGGAGAACTTCTTCAGGGAAGAAGGTCTTAAGCTCGAACGTGTGTGTGTGTGTGTATTCCCGAATTGCAAATTTCCGCTGCGAGAAGTCAAACGGCGACCGTGATTTAACGATCGTCGCTAGACATTCACTTTCATGTTACGAAAGCGCCAAACGAGATCGTTTTACGATGCAAACTGCATTTGTAAACCGTTGCATATATTTCGTATATTGGCAAACAAAGACAAATCTTTCTCGATAACTTACGAATAAAGGGGCAAGTGTGCAAAAGATGTTTTTGTGCAAAATCGCATCATTCTCACAAAATCATTATTTCCTATTATGTCATATCAGTCATACGAGAGATGTTAAATTTCTTAACTTTACAAAATCTTTTTTTATTATATTAATTTCTATAAAAGAAAATTATTTTTTATTAGATATATTAATTTCTATAAATTTTATCTCTTTTTATTAATACCTTTATAATTAATGGAAAAACAAAATGTTTTTATTTTAGTGCTTTCAAACTTAACTATTGCAACTTATAGAAATACGTCAAAGGGATACGTTACATTAACGATATACGTAGTACATCAACGCTTGATGTGATGCTTATAGATACATGGTATTATGTGACATTATTGTAATGATGATAACTGAATTCCGAATATGGTAATACCAAAATTACCAACAAATTGTCACAAATCCGATCCTCTCGTCTACCCCTTCAAATCATGTTTTTCGATTCAAGATGGATGAGATGTTTAGTGCGTCAGCATAACATTATACAGCAAATTCGCTCTGTTAGTTACGCTGCAAGTTTCCGTAGAGCGACATGGTCTATTTGTTAAATATTGACACGAAATCAATGAGTTTCAATTACGTTTAAATTAACGAATACGCTTTCATTCACATGTTAATCGATTAAAGGAAATTTACGTAAAATATTATTGATATTTGGAAAAATTAATTGATTGATTGATTTTATACAAATTTTTCAGTATTTGAGAATGCGTAACGTAAAACAAGTTTTAGTTAGTTTTTCAAATTCTACAACTAAAAAGTTTCTTTTTTCCATCAACAATTCTGTCAATGTTTACATAGTCAATGCTAAAATTTTTTTAATGCAACGGAGTAATTTCGATATATATACATATATATAAACAATAAATGCAGAATATTTCTCTTTCTCTCAATCCAGCGAACGAGTTGAAGGAATGAAAGGCACCGCTCTCGCAGTTTGTCCGATGATACTAACATATAAGTTATCTTAAAGCGTGTGGTACACTTTATACTTAACATTTTTGATA